ACTCCTCTTTTTGTCGTAAACGTCTTTAAAATGAATGAAAAAATGTTAAAAGTATTGCAATATGTATAGAACACATCAATGTAGTGTAAATACAAGCTTCTATAGCACCTATATACCGACTATAGATGATGATATATGCCGTTATAGTACAATAGCACGGAGACAGGTTTATATAAATCATAATATTCATAAGCTTAGCAGAAACAGATCTTTTTTGAAGAGCGAAACATATTTCGCCTTTCCCGATTGACATTGAGTAGGGGATTGGTCTCCCTCACGCTTCCTATATATATACGCTCCTGATGAAACTACATTCAAACCCATGATCGAATTGAGGAAACTAGAAAACACATACTTTGAATGGACCCATCTGATGTGGAGGGCCACTCCTTGGCTGCTTCTAAATGTCTTTAAAATGAATGAAAAAAATGTCAAAAGTATTGCAATATTGTATAGAACACATCAATGTAGTGTAAATACACGCTTCTATAGCACCTATATACCGACTATAGATGATATATGCCGTTATAGTACAATAGCACGGAGACAGGTTTATATAAATCATGATTTTAATAAGCTTAAGTGGAACAAATCTTTTTTGAAGAGCGAAACATATCTCGCTTTTCCCGATTAACATTGGAGGGATTGGTCCTTTTGTCTCCCCAAGCTTCCTACGCTCCTGATGAAACTACATTCAAGCCTATGATCGAATTCAGGAAAAGAAAACACATAGTTTGCATCATGCGTTCTTCTCACGTGGAGGGCTACTCTTTTTTTCGTAGCAAACGTCTTTAAAATGAACGAAAAAATGTTAAAAGTATTGCAATGTCATATAGAACACATCGGTGTAGTGTAAGGTTCTAGCACCTATCCTCCTTCAACATTGCGAATCATAGTGCTTATGGGAAAATTTTGAAGTCATTGCTAAAGTAAAAATAATATTTTAATTGACATCTATTAACGTCATATAATGTTGGCTTTTGACCTCTGACAAGTTTAACTCTACTTCCATAGCCTCCACCTAAACATCAAAACAATTAAGCTATTAATAACTTCTTCGTCCTCGAAAATACGAATTGCAGACGTTCAGGGGGATGAATGCTTCCCTCATTATTGCAAATCATGGTGTGCCAGTGGTTACTCCTTCTCAGCTGACTTGGTTTTCTGAAAGGTCTATTCTGGAATATATATCAGAAACTGTGCTATCGCCAATAGTTATTTTGAGGGTTTACCTTTACCCGCTTATGGAAAAGACTTTTAGGTCATCGCCAATGTGAAGACAACATTTTAATTAATATGCATTACTGACAGCCTTTAGCGTTTAAGCTATACGCTAAAAGACTCGTGTCAATCTTTTCCTGTAACAATACTTCAGTGGCGTAACGCAACCTCGGATTATCCGTTTCATCCTTTAATTGCAAGGCGGTTCTCAGAGTGGGTGCGGTGTGGCCGCGTTTAGAATTTTATGCATAAACTTTGATTTTAAGTTGCTGCGTCTTAAGCTACGTTTACAAGCTGCGATCTGTCGTGTACTGGCGTCTTCTGGCGTCTTCTGGCGTATGGAATTTACCACTGACCTCGCACTTCCTTCTCATCCAGATTATGGCGAAATTTGAAATACAACCACTTTACGCGTGTTTATTCGATTACATACACTAGAATATGAATCGCACACAACCAATCGCAAACGTACCTTTACTTTTATGGGTTTACAGTGAACGTTTTCGAGCAGATCAGCAAATCAACTGTCGTACAGGTTGCCCCCAAAATTACTCTAGCACATGCTTTAAATTTCATGTATAAAGAAACTATCTAGTATATTAAACACTGAATGTGAACATTAATCAGGAATACAAGATGGGATGTCTCCTGTAATGAAGTACTTACCTTGCATTTGGTGTTTTTGCGGTTGTGGGTATTCAAACCCACAGCGTTTTTACAACTTCTGAAACAAAGAGAAACCATAAATGAGTCGTGCAAATATTCATAGTTCCAAGCAAGCACACTATATGCTTATAATAAAAAGAAGAATTGGGGAAATAGTTAATTTATTTGCAGTGAAAATTTCAGGAACTTTATAACCACTTACTGCCCACAAATGGCACACTTTATGTTTCTAAAGGCAAAAGAAATATAAATTAAACAAATATATATATATTAAGTTTCACTGCTACATGTATATCAATATCACAATAATTTATTAAACCAGTACAATATCGTATCCTGAAGCTGTAGTCCTGTAATTAAGTACGATATTTAGTGTTTTTGCTTTGGTGGCTTCTCAGGCCCACCTGATCCAAGCAGGTCCTAAAACAAAGAGAAACCATACATGAGTCGAGCAATGGAGTTGTTTCAAAACCGGATTGAGAAATCATTATTCATAGTTTCAAGCAAACACAGATGCTTTTAATGAAAAATAGTTTAATAATAGGAATTGGGAAAATAGTTAATCTATGTGCAGTGAAACTTTCAGGAGCTTTATAACCACTTACTGCCCACATATCTGGCATTTAATGTTTCTAAAGGCAAAAGAAATATAAATTAAACAAATATATATATATATATAAGTTTCACTGCTACATGTATATCACAATAATTTATTAAACCAGTACAATATCGTATCCTGAAGCTGTAATCCTCTATAGAGGCTTAATTGGTTAGCTATGAAACGCACACGAAGATTTTCTCCACCATAGAGTATGCTCGTGATAATGGTGTTGTCATCCTGGGGGGAGGTCGCTAAAAATAAATTGTTCCGAGAAAAATTTTTGGAGCCTATTTTTAGTGGAGCAAAGGGGCCCAAAGTGGCCGATTGACGGAGGGGGCCCAGCGGTTGCGTTACGCCACTGAATTTATGTGCAGTGAAAATGTCAGGAGCTTTATAACAAAATATATACAATAAAAAAATAATATATACATTAAGTTTCACCCAACGAAAAAGGAAGATGAACGAAGGAGCCCAACTCAAGAAAAGGTGGATGATTATGCAAAGTTTCGTCTAAACGACATCTCCATACAACCTTTCCTTTACCTTTTTTCAGCTAATTCCTTTTTTTTTTAAACTTAACAATTTGTATGGTTAAGTTTTTGTTTTTACTTTTGCATACCAAAGCCTGTTCTCTTAGCATCTGATTTTTGTCTTAAGTAACGAACATTCTGAATATAAACATGTTAGTTTCTTTCGTTCTTATCCAACTAGGAATAGATAATTTGCCGACTACCTGACGATCGTGAGTGTTCCAACCCCTCACGCCCAGCCTTTATTGATTTGTCATTATTGTGTTTATCGTTGACACGTAACTGACTTTGTCAAGTTTATCGTTTTATTATGAATGAATTGTCCATATTTGAAACTAACCTTTTCACTCAACCATTTGTTTGTTTCTTTTAAAATTTCTATTTCTTCGTCTTTTTCCTTTATGTTCTCTACAAGTTTTTCAAATTCCTCCCTATATCTGAAAGAACGAGAAAATAGTATTATGTATTGTAAGGTTTTGGAATAGGATCTTTTTTAGATATAAAAGTGCTAGCGTTAACAGTTTGCCAGAAGGTGACGAACTTTACGGGTCTCTCTATGAGTCGTGAGATCTTACGTGTGCAATTTCGTACAAGACTACAACATTTCTTACCAATAAAAGGCAATTTAATCCAAATTGTTGATATGCTTTTACTTCTTTCATGGGTTATGGGTTCGTTGGGTTTATTATCAGTGAAGGTTTTGATTAACTTTGTGACTGACCAGCGTGGAAAGCAATTCCAGGAAGCGAATTGCTTGATCTTTTGGATTTCGCGGTCCAGCAGATCAGGGGCGCTGCAGATCTTTTGGGCGCGTTGAACAAGGGCACGAATCCATGCTATTTTCCGAGACCAAGGTGTGAAGCTGGAATAGTGTGAGTACTGTCCGGTATGGGTTGATTTCCGATATATATAGTTGTCCCCGGCGGGTCGATTTTAATATCTAAGAAATGAACATCGTTGCTATCTACGAATTCTTCGCACGTGAATTGAATATGTGGGTGAAATGAATTGAAGCTGTGTCGACGAGAATTGATGGGATATTTTCGGGTTTAGTCAGAATTAAGTAGCTAATTAATTAGTAGTAGATAATTAAATCAATTCTTAATATAATTTAGTAGCTACTTTTTTCCCTTTTTTTTAAGCCTTGTAAATGTTCTTTTTTCAATTTTTTCCTGTTTTTTCCTGCGTAGATTTATTTTGTCTTTCTATGTTCGCCGCCATCTCCTTACATTTTTTACTTCCATGTTTGTGGGTCCGTAAACCCCCTTCGCTCTTGCAAATTTTCCCACAGATTTCGCATTTGAATTATCTGCATTTTTCCGACCGGACGTGGCTCATCCAGCCACTCAAGTGGGTAAAGGTCCTTTTCCATTGGTGTTTCTTCGTCAGAATCGGTCAGATTCAACCTCGAAATGGCGGGTTGCGTCAGATTCTGGTGAATGCTCGTCCTCGCTGCTGCTATTGTTGTTACTGCTGTTGCTGCAGCTGCTGGTGGACATTTCCTCCTGGTTCAATCTATCTCTTGTTGTTATTTCAAGAGGCTTTTCATATATCCATCAAAGTTGTTGTATGTTTTGCCATCTTGTAGTTCTGTTAGCAGAGCATTAGACTAGTTCGACTCCCATCGTGATTAGGGCCGTTTAGCAAATTTATCAATGCCTGATGTGGATACACACTCGTAAAAATATTACACTACCATAAAAATGTAAATTTTGTCCCTCGTTACCTTATTGAAACTTCTCTGGACAACAAGTTGACTTTTTGTTTCAAATTTTTTATATGATATACCATCTAAAATTGATCAGTGTGGGTGGTTAATGTACAGTAAAAATCTAATTTAATGTTTACTGAAAGGAAAGTATAAAGGCCATTTTCCATTGTAGTCGCTTTGCCCTGAGTAAGTACATACAGTATAAAATAAGTAAGCCTGTACATACGGTATAAAATAATTAAGTACATATAGTATAAAATCAGTACAAAGTACATACGGTATACAATCAGTACAAAGTACATACGGTGTAAAATCAGTACAAAGTACATACGGTGTAAAATAAGTAAGTACATACGGTATAAAATAAGTAAGTACATACGGTATAAAATAAGTAAGTACATAAAGTATAAAATAAGTAAGTACATACAGTATAAAATCAGTACAAAGTACATACAGTATAAAATCAGTACAAAGTACATACAGTATAAAATAAGTAAGGACATAAAGTATAAAATAAGTAAGGACATACAGTATAAAATATGTACATACAGTATAAAATATGTACATACATGCAGTATGAAATAAGAAATTTTCTTGTAATTTTCATTAACTTGTTTTTCCGTTGTCCATCTTTAATAATAGAATGTGAAAGCAATATTTCAGAACCTCTTCCGCGGCTCGTAATTTTTCCATTTCTGATTTTGTTATTTCATTCTGCCGCTGCAATATTTTCCGGTCTTTTTCATTTTCTTCTATTTCCATCTCCAGTTTTTCGTTTCGATTTTTTTCAATCTTCCATCTTTAATAATAGAAATGAATTAGTTTTTCACGCGCCGCCATTTTTGGAGCCGAGTATAATTTCTCCTAAACGACTATAACAATGTGAAAGCAATATTTCAGAACTTTAGGATAAAACACACCACTCTGTTTACACTTGTTTTTGGACTCAGGGGAGTCACTCAACCTTTTAACATACATACTCTTAATTCACTCGTTGTTAAGATTGCAATATCTCTTTCCAAGTTATATATAAATCATATATAGATGTTAAACAATATTTATCTAAACTTTCGCTCACACGACATCTGAATATCAGACCAGAACGACAACAATTACCCTCACCTTTCCATTTTTTTAAGCCTCTCTTCTTTTCTTTTTATTTCTGTCATCTTCCATACTGAAAATATTTTTTCAAATTAAAGCTTTTGCCAGTCATCATAATTGAGTCAAATATAATAGATTATGCTGTTCTCCTTGAAGGTCTGCATGTCGAGTGCAATTGGTCATTTGTTTAGTTTTACCACAAAAAGCAAGGCACCATGTGCTTCTATTACATATACGACAAACAAACTTATTCTTAATTCATGTTTATTTCAGCTTCAATTAAGAACATGTCGAGCATGCAAGGTTCACTGATTACACTGATCTATGCGTTGTCTTAATCCGTTGTCCCCCCTCCCTCGCTTAACCTACTACCAACTAAGTCTACAGTAAAAGACCGTGGGTATACATGTACCTCTTCAACTAATTTTTCCATTTCTGATTTTGCAATTTTTTCCTGCTGCTGCATTAATTCCCGCTTTTTTTCATTTTTTTCCATTTCCATCTCCAGTTTTTCGTTCTCAGTTTTTTCCATCTTTAATAATAGAAATGAATTAGTTTTTCACGCACCGCCATATTTGGAGCAGTATAATTTCTCCTAAACGATTATAACAATGTGAAAGCAATATTTCAGAACTTTAGGATAAAACAAACCACTCTGTTTACACTTGTTTTTGGACTCAGGGGGATTCACTCAACCTTTTAACATACCCTTAATTCACTCGTTGTTAAGATTGCAATATCTCTTTTCAAGTTATATATAAATTATATATAGATGTTATACAATATTTATGTAAACTTTCGTTTACACGACATCTGAATATCTGACCAGAAGGACAACCATTACCCTCACCTTTCTTCCATTTTTTTTAAGCCTCTCTTCCTTTCTTTTTATTTCTGTCCTCTTCCATACTGAAAATAGTTTTTCAAATTAAAGCTTTTGCCATGCAGTCATCATGATAATTGAGTCAAATATAATAGATTATGCTGTTCTCCTTGAAGGTCTGCATGTCGAGTGCAATTGGTCATTTGTTTAGTTTTACCACAAAAAGCAAGGCACCATGTGCTTCTATTACATATACGACAAACAAATTTATTCTTAGTTCATCTTTATTTTAGCTTTAAGAACATGTCGAGCATGCAAGGTTCACTGATTACACTGATCTATGCGTTGTCTTAATCCGTTGTCCCCCCTCCCTCGCTTAACCTACTACCAACTAAGTCTACAGTAAAAGACCGTGGGTATACATGTACCTCTTCCATTAATGTTTCCATTTCCGCATTCATTCGTTGCCGCATTCATTCGTTGAAAATATCACTTGCTTCACTACTGCGGCAAAGAAAGGATCTACTGGACCAAATCCCCAGTAGTTGTATAATTACATAATGCCCTGACTACCCCCCCCCCCCTTCCTCTTTTAACCTACTACTAAGTTCACAGTAAAAGATCGTGGGTATCCCTCCTCTATTAATTTTTCCATTAGCGTCCAATAACTCTCTGCTTAAGTAAGTACGTACAGTATAAAATAAGTAAGTACATACAGTATTAAATAAGTAAATACATACAGTATTAAATAAGTGAGTACGTACACTATAAAATAAGCAATTCCCTTAACTGAATCAGCTGTATTTAAAAAATAAACTATAAGTTACTTACCATTACGCTTCCCCATAACCAGCAGCCGATCTATCCTTTGCTTATTTAAATAAATTATTTACGTGCTGTTTCCAGTCCGAGACAGGCGATACCGATAAAACATATTAAGTTACTTGCCAAGATCCGTCCTTTCTTCCATTAACTTGTCAATGGTATTTTCCAGTTCATTTTCCCTTTGTTTATTCTGTAGTAGAGATAATTAAATAAGTCACTATTGTATAATTAGATAATTAAATATTGCGATTAAATAAGCTACAATTAAATAAGCTCATATTAGTTCACTATACAATATCATTATAAAATATTTATGTAAAGTTTCCTCCTTAACTGGATCGGCTGTATTTAAAAAAAATAGACCATAAGTTACTTACCACAAAATTCTTCCCAAAACAACAACCGATTCACTTGATCTTTCATTTCTTTAATTTTCTCTAGTAAAGATAATTAAATAAATTATAATGCATGAGGTGTGCACTAATTATAATTTTTGTATATAATGCAATAATACTGCGGCATTTTGACTACAGTATAGTCAAGTTTGGGATATAGGTACACCTACTCGAAAAGCTTTAAATAATGTAAAACAGGGCCGCTACAGTCATCACTCATGGTAGCCAATGTTAGAAAAAAGGAAAGAAAACAAGGCATAATAAAAAAAAACGGCGTTGCGAACTGTAAATCGTTGAATCACAGATCGCTTTCCCTTTGTATATCACATATCACCTTTTCCCGCAAGGCTGATATTTCCGTTCGACCTGCCGAAATGCTTCCAACTTGGAGGGCCAAACGCAGTCATCATCGTCAGAACTATTGAACACAAATGATGCTAGTATTACGACAGCTTACGAATTTTTTGCTTATTTTTTTCCAAGTAAGGAACCTTCTTTCGGAAACCCTCTCCTTCACAGTCTCCTTTACCGTCCCCTCAAGTACGCGACTTTTTCGTGCCGGGTCCTCCTCCAGTTGCTCGATTTCAAAATGAAATTCTCCCATATCTCCTCCCATCTATTATGCCCTTCGGCGGCTCAATTTCTAGGTGAATAAGGATATGCAGGAGATTATCCTCATACGCATGGCAAGGAGAGCGTTTGTCATGAAGATGAGCATTGATTGAGACATTTGGCAATGTCTCATTGATTGAACCATGGCAATGTCTTAGCAAAATTGCTCTGAAATTATTATTATAAAAGGCTTTATTATACAAATTACTAATATCGAAATTTATATTTCACTAAAATAAAAGCTGAAATACTGCATGTAGTAAAATTGTTCATTGACTAAAAGCTGTGCAATCAAATTCAAATACAGTGGTCAGTGCCAAAAATATATTTCTAGAACCGTTCCTGAACATTTTCGAAACGTTTTACCCAACAATAAAGACTTTCACGTTAAATTTTCAAGCATTCAAACTGTTTATATAAACTCTGAAATTGATGAATCCATAGTAAAGTGTTCTTTTATATTTGCCATTTAGCACAAAAAGATATGATTAAATGTCCAAATTGATACAATGTTCTGGATTACAGATGTTCTGTCAAAAAAGGGCGAGGGGGTTGCTGCATGCATGTATTTCTAGTCAAAATTTGATTTGCTGAAATCTTGAAGATGCTAAATTTTTGCAGTTCATATATGAAGCACGCCGTCTGAATAAGACCATGCAAGTAGCTAGTATTAAAAATAAAAAAAGCTTTGCTGGTTTTCATGTGATTTTATGTGAACGTTTTGTGTCCGAATACTGGTTGTACAGACCAGGGGCCGCGGAACTTGGGAAGCAATGGGGGTATATGCCCCCTCCCCCACTTAAAAGCTAAGTGCGCCATTTAAAGAACGAAAAAAGTATTTCTTGAATGAACGCCTTTTGCTGGAAAGGAAGTGCCCGTTTTGAAATGTATAGAGGTAAAGACTTCGTAAAGACCATTTCTGACACAATAACAGAGTCCATATTTTCAAAAATTTTCGTTCGGCTCGTGAACGACATTAAAATGGTTTGATTTTCGTCATAGTAAGAGTGAGCTATTTGCCCAATGCCCTCCACTTTCGAAATGTTTCCGTGGCCTCTGGTTGTGACATTAGTCATCATGTTTAAATTAATGTGAAGTCTGTATTGGTTCATAGGTTTTCTATGTTTGTAAATGCTGTATTGAGAAAGTTGCATGCATGTATGCATCTCATCCATTTCAATTCTTCTTTGTATGTAACGTTATTTGTGTTTGTCTTTAAATTGCATTCTTTTCCAATGAAGTTTGCAATACTTCCCTGCCCAAGGGAACTTTATACTATCCTGTAGAAAAGTAGTATCTTTAATACCAAGAACGATACAAATCTAGAACTTTCTGTAGAATGATTCGCAACTTAAACTTGTATTTAAATACAATATGATAAGAACAGTCAAAGGGATAGACAATATGTCCTTTAGTCGACGCAAATCGTATATCACTAATAGAGTTGAATTATAGTGCGATTATAAGTAAGCTACGAATGTAAAAACAAAATTCTAATAGTTGTAAATGAAATCTACTTATAATAAACGTGTTTGAAAATACGTGCGTGTGTTTATTATCTTACCATAGAACCAAAAAAAACTCTTTGAACAAGTCTGGTCCTTCACTGTCACGTGTGTATTGTATTTTTGCCATATCCACCAATAGCAATTTCCAACTTTCCCTATTGTGCGAGTCATGGATTGGTAACTTTCCTAAAGCATTGCTATTGGTTATTTGGGAAAAGATACAATAACACGTGACTGCGAAGAACCAGTTCTATGAACAAACATAGATAATGAGTTGCATTGTTATTCTAATGAGTTTCACAGCCATCTTCCCTTGCACAAACTGTGACCAAATCACCAAAGTAAGGTTTGGTTATGTTTAGAGGAGGCGACATTAATTCTGTGTATCTTGGGATGTCTCTGACCTATTTGATACTGGATCAATCTCGTACCCAGATCCATCAACGATGGCTGTGGGTACGAGATTGGTATTGGATGAATTTCACTCTTCACCATCGTGATGATGATACGTCGATCGGCAGTTAGCAGAGTGTAATATTGTTTTTTTCATCGTGTACCGGGTGTCCCAAAAACAAGTACTCCGGTTTGATTCGTAATAACTTCTAAACAAGTAAAGCTTTTAAAGATAAATAACTTGCATCAAATAGAGGAAGGACTAACTTAGATTTTGATATATTACAGTTGTATTTCACTTAAAAATTCGCGGAGATATTAATGTTTAAAATCGGGAGCATATTTCTGGATGTGTCTGAAATATGCAAAAAACGGCGTATCAAATATTAATCGAGAATTGCCCGACTGAAACATGCACGATTACCAGTAAATAAATGACACTTGACAAATTGTTTATTATGAAACAAATTATTATCTACAAAATACAAGCAAGATTTATTCGTCCGAAATCCGCGTGTGTTCCTAGCATGAATACGTTTCCTTATTTCAAGAGAACACTGCATCGCGAAGGATTGTCATGGATCGTTCGTATAGTTCTGAATTAGGGCATGCTGTCACAATCGAATTGTGAAGCTCTTCTAACTTTTGCAACGTTGTGAAATCTTGTTAAGACCACTCAAACTCTTTTGCCTTTTCTTAATCTTTTTAAGTTCAGAATAAATGAGAATGAAACACAATCAAACCATACAACTCGTTAAGACATAACAAGCATACAACTCCCTGAGAGACATCCAACATTTTTGGAACAAATGTAACAAAATAGTAGCGTTGATACTGTGATGTGTATTTGCAAAAAGCAATATTATTTCCTTCATTGCAGAATAATATTCATCCTGCTCTAACCGAGAAATAAACAACTCTGTTTTGAATCCATGAAAAACATAAAAAAATTAGGCTATTTAAGAAATTTTAAAATTTAAGCGCCTGCCTTGCGTGGTCTTTCATGTACCTTATAAGTTTGTAAAGACCTATTAAATACTTGCATAATTTCGTACGTTCATATTTCAGGAAACAATGAGCTAAGACTTACATGTAGCTAAGATGTCTAAATCTATGCCATATCCTTTACAAACCCTAACGACAATTCGCTGAAATACAAGTTAGCCTGATATGTCATCAAGCAAACAAACGCTGAAGTTAATATTTGATATGCCGATTTTCGCTAATTTTAGACACATTCAAAAATATGCTCCCGATTTTGAACATTAATATCTCCGTGAATTGTTAAGTAAAATACAACTGTAATATATCAAAATCTAAGTTAGTCCTTCCTCTATTTAATGCAAGTTATTTCTGTTTGATAGCTTCACTTGTTTAGAAGTTATTACAAGTCAAACCGGAGTACTTTTTTTTGGGACATCCGGTAGTAGTCCTGTATTTGGTGGCAAATAAATCTTGTTGATAGAGAGTTCAATTTTCATGTTCCTCTAAATAAATTTAAGAGTTTAAAATTGACCACTACCATCATGACGTGTTGTTTACCAAATATCCAATGGACAGTTTTCTAAAACAATACAATCTAAGGTAGCGATATAAAACTGTTCCGTTTTTGTGCATATGTTTACTTCTCTGTTTTAGAGTATTTTATGGGACCTAAAGGCAGAGACAATAGCTTTGATCTCCAGGAGGTTGAACTGGTTCCAGTGTGAATGTATTGCCTGCATTGTAGTAATGTAGACAATGTAGTTGTCATAGATATCTTATATACACTAGATAGCGCATCTCTTTTAGTAAAATTGAAGCCAAGAATATTCCAGCGGTTACCCCCATTTGAATAGATGGCGGCCATGTTGGTCGTTCCCACTTGCTAATAAACGCTTAAAAACAACAACTTTCATCATTTGAATAATTTGAAAATGTATTTGGAATAGGTTTAACTTAATGTTTAAGTTCCCCTGTTTAAGAAATGGAAAACAAATCAAAACATACGAGTCTTCCCATTTCATGGGAACGACCTGAGACTGCAATCACGGCTTCAATTTTTGAATTGCATAATAGGCCACACAAAATAAATTCCTTGATTCTCATCACTACACTTTGGAAATGTCGAAGAGGCGGGAGGTTTATATTTTATATTTTATATTTATATAATTTAATATATATCAATAAATAAAAGTGTCACAAACTGAAATAAACATATTTCTCCACGAACAATGACTGGTCCTTGAACTGAATGCGAAGTTCCGTTAAAATGCAATGAAATTTCTTTCAAGGTTCTATTTGTTTGAAATTGGCAGTTTAAAATGGCACTAAAAACCCTATATAAAATATAAAAAACTTAACTGTCTTGAAATATTTTGTCGGGCGGTACATTTATATTGTATAACAAAATATAAAAAAATTTCACGCGGCTCTTAAAATACAGTCGGGCGGTGATGAGAATCAAGGAATTTATTTTATGTGGCCATAATTAGATGCACTATCTAGTGTATATAAGATATCTATGGTAGTTGTTCTTTGAATTCTCCCGCAAACATCCTGTGCTTTCAGCAGCATCATTTGACGAATTTTGCATCAAAATACTTGTGTCAATTAATGCTCCTTCAACCTTGTTCCCAGACTTCTTGGGGTTGCTGCTTCTCGTTCGTTGCTCGCATAGATATAGGAGATCTAGATTGCTAACGCATACCTAGCGCAGGCGGGGGCCTACATGATAAATCCAAGATGGCGGTGCAACAGGGCAAAAAGACTATAGATTCTATTACGAAAATCAGGATTTTTGCATTTTGTGCCGTCGCATTGTTTCGAAACTTATTCGGTCAAATTTTGTGGTAAAGAGAAACTTACCGCGAAGATTTTGAGCATATATATGATTGAATTGGATGAAAACTCGCAAAATTATCCATCGATAAAAGTTCGTGTATACGGTACTGATATAGTACTATATATGTAACTTGTACAGTTTTGCTTTAATTTTTGCTCACTATTTGCATAAAAAGCAAGTTATAACAGACCATAGATGATAGACCCTCATCCAGTGCTCTCAGTCTACTTCTCTAACAAGCAAGGAGGG